AAAGAAAGAAAGAAAGAAAGAAAGAAAGAAAGAAAGAAAGAAAGAAAAGCCCAGTTTCCCTGGTTGCTGCCAGAGCAGACAAGCACTCTTTCTTTCAGTGACTTGCTGATGAGGTCTCAGTTTGGAGCTGTCCCTGATTTGGTCTCCTCAGTCCTGTGGAGTGCATCTTTAATAACTAAATAGGTTAATGTGGGGAGGACTAGTGAAAATGTGACCTGATTCACCTTTGAGCTTCAGTAACCCTCACCTCCTGCAGTTTAATCAGTCTAAAAATAACAAATGGAAAGTTCCAGAAAAAAAAAAAAAAAAGCCAATTTGTGGAGGGGGATGAATATGATCAAATACATGTTATGAAATTCTCAAAGAAGTAATAAAGCATTACTTTAAAAATCAATTTATGGGTCTTAAATAGGTTTTATTACAGTATATTATATTGCTAAAATTGCTCTACATTTTAGTTATTATTGCCTATCCCTTATTTGCTGAATCTGCACATTGAAGAACAGACGTTTTCCAGGCCTCCACTTGGAGGGCGGGCTGTCTGGAAGATCCCCACAGATAAGAGAAAACCATTATACTAACAGCTTTAGTTCATGTATAAATGTAACAACTGTCTGTTGAGATATATGCATTTATGATTAAAGCATGAATGGATATGGTCCCTGGAATGCCATCTGAAGGGGACAGAGGGTCACAGGGAAGATTATTACAACAGATGTGCGAATGGGAATGAAGGTGTGTACGGAGACTAGTACAGTGAAAGGTGCCCACAATGCCGTGCCAGATTTAGAGAGAGTTCATTGAAGGAGTGTTACCTAAATCGTATCATAACACATTCATAAAGTAGCTAAGAAAGAGCAGGAGAGTGAGAAAGGGATTTTTCCAGGTAAAAGGGACAGGATGAGCAAACATCAGGGTAGAAGAAGAGGCCTGCCAGGTTCAATGCTGGATTGCAGAGACCAAGGGAAGGCAGTGAGGAATGACACTGGAGAGGAAGCGGGATGTGTCATAAGGGGTTGGGGTAGAGGAGGCTGCATACTAGAAAGTCTCAGGGTTTGGGGGCTCTGGTGTTCTAATGAGAAGAGTAACAGGACCACACTTGCTTTCAGACAGCCACAGAGGTGCCTTAGATAAGAGCTGAGACACAGGGACCAATTTAGAGTACAAGGCTGAGGAGGCTGCTCCCGGTAGTCCCCGGAAATTGACAGAGAGAATTCCAGCAGCACCCAGGATTTAGGTCATGAAAGGATCAAGAGGAAGGTAGAGGGACAAGTGCCCTGCAGGTGATCGTAATGGGAATTGGATTGTCCAGGCAAAAGAGACAGGAGATGCTGGAGGAACCTGGACTTTGAGGACCAGAGATCTATCGCTCACCAGAACTAAAGAGCAGGCAAGAGGGTCAGATACAGCAAGCAGCCCCCTGAAGATGCCACGGTTACAATACTGACAGGCCACAGAGCCCAATAACATGGCCCAGGTCCACACAGCGACTAAGCCTGGAACCAGGGCAGTAGGTGCAAGGAGAACACAGAATCCCTACAAAGAGGTAAGAAGGTGGCATGACTCAAGGCTTAGTGAAGATAGGCCAATTTCCTGATGTGCCTTACCATGAGGATTAAGTGACACTTCTGAAGTGATAAGATGGGGAAAGGGGAGAGCAGAAGACTACCTGCATGTCTTTAAGCCAAGGGACCAGGTGATAGCAGAGGCACATGGCAAGAGCTGAGGAGCTGTGTCTTCTGAGATGAGAGTAAACTGTTGGCTGATGGAGGATTCCCAACGCTCAGCCCAGAGGTGGGAGGGAGGGGAGCTGCGGAGCCTGGGTCCAGAGGAAGGGCTAAAGACAGCCTAGAAATCAGAGAAGGAAACAACACAGATAACCAAATCAGAAGTTCCCCCGGGGGGGGGGGGGTATTATCAAAGCATTCAGGCTGGTATGATATCCAAGAGGAGGTATGCAAGACTCTTAGGTAGAATTTCGCTACAAGTAGACACTTACAGCACAGTGTGGCCTGGGTAGTGTTGGGGAGATGCTGAGGAAGACCCAGGGTGATCAGTCTGTCTGAACACTCGATCCTCACAGCTTCACCCCGTGGCCCTGAGACATTCTATAAGAAAGCAGGAGGTCCCAGAAAAGATTCGTCTCTTGGCACCTAATTCCAAAGGCCTCTGTCATCAATCTACCCTGCAGGATAGTTGACTTGTTACAGGATAAAGTAAGGCACAAAGGAAGAGTTGTCTAGTAAATTTTACTTTGTATACAGTTTTCTTTATTTGTTTTTCTGCAGGACGTACTGGCCAGATTTGGATGGGAAAATAAGAGAAGCCTTGGTTTTACGAAGCGTTAAGGTCCGGCTGCTCATAAGCTTCTGGAAGGAGACTGATCCCCTCACATTTAACTTCATCTCGTCTCTTAAAGCTATTTGCACTGAAATAGCCAACTGCAGTTTGAAAGTTGTAAGTGTTATATTGAACTGTGGTGTTAAATAAAAGGGGTTTATGCCCTTCGCATGTCTATGAAAGCTGTCAGCATGCACACACACACACACACACACACACAGAGGTTAACAGCAGTGTCCTCTTCAGTTGCTCTCTACCTTATTGTTGTAAGACCGAGTCTCTCACTGAGGTGACTAGACTGGTAGCCACTAAGCTCCAGGGGCTATCTATCACCATCTACTCCCAGCACTAATGTTATAGACAGCTGTCTGGAAAACTTTATGTGGATGCTTGGAGTCCAAGCTCAGGTCCTCAGGTGTGTACAGCAAGCATATTGATCCCCTAGCCATCTCCTCAGCCCCTTCAGATACACACTTTATTTGAACTGCTTCTTTCACCTACTAATCTTATCTGTACTGCTGACAAAGGGTTACCCTCCTGCTACCCCAGACTCCTGGGCTTTCTCCAATTTCTTATGCCACGTGCCAATCCATCTCTGATGCCTAGAGGAAAGCAAGGCAGGGAACTGCTAGTTCCTTGTTTCTGTGGCTTTTGTCATTACTAGGCAGAATACCTGACAAGAAGCAACTTAAGGGAGGAAGGACTGACCTGAGTCCATAGTTCCGTGGTGGCTGGCATGAGTTGACAGTTTGACTTGTTACATCCTGGCTTGTCAGGAAGTATAGAATTTGGGCTGTTCCTAGGGGCAGGATATAACCCATAAGTTCCATCCCTAACCATAGACCTACTTCTTCAGGTAAGCTCTACCTCCTAAAGGTTCCCCATCCTCCTAAAATATCATGACCCACTATAGACCAAGTGTTCAAACACATGAGCCCATGGGAGACATTTCACATTCAAACCAGAGAGCATACAAAATCAAAGAGGAGCCTTAACTCAGGCTCCTCTTTGATTTTTCTTGACTGCTCCCCTCAGGACCTCTGTGTGTGCTGTTTCCTCTGCCTGCAACACCTTTATCTCCTCCTACATATGACCTGTGACTAATCTTTAGGCCTCAGTTTTCAAACCAAGGCCCTATGCATTCAACAGCTGTGTGCTGACACCCCACTCCATGTCAGGCCCTGTACCTCATGAAGCCTTTGTTGACATTTGATGACAGGATTTCTCAAGTATCCATCTTGAATTAGCTTCCAGAATGGTGAAATAAATCAAATACCAGGAATGGAAGCTCCCGATACAGGGATCCAGGCAAGGCCTAGAGGCTGGACCAGATGTGTTTGATGCCTCTTCACAGAGATGAGAATGCTAGGGTTGTTTCAGCTCAGGGACAGCATCATCCAGGACACTGGAGTGACATTGAGGACTCCAGGGAAGTCAGATGATGCAGAGAACAGACGTCCTAATGCTTGGCATGAGGCTAGTAGTGTTCAAGACATGTGCTAAACTGGTAGATTCACAAATGAAGGCAGGAAAAAACGGGAGCTGGACAAGGCTCTATTGCCAGCGAGGAGAGTGAGGAGAACCCAGAGCAAGGCCCAAGGATTTTTTTTTTTTAATCTCCCCAGTGAGTGTCATTATGGCTAGCTGCAGAAGCATGAGTGGAAATTTGTTAGCAGGCCATGGGCCCCAGTATGAGTAGCTACACTCCTGAAGAAAATGCCTCTTCCTTTCCCCCGTCATCCATGAACTGCTCATCAATCATCAGAGAAGGATGTGACCACACTCTCCTACCTCCTCATTCCTCATCTCACTTCTGTAACAGAGTGTCGACAGACCAATCCTATGGAAATTTTGTGCAGCTTTTAAAAAAAATTCAAGGATGCAACAACTATGTCATGCCAAAAAGCAAGGGTTTTCCGCCTCTCTGTGCTGATTCTTTCGGCTCTTACACCCTCTCTCTGAACTCTATGCCTTGGAGGGTAGATGTTCTATCTATGGCTGGGCATTCAATAGTCATTTCTCCTCGATACTTTGACCAATTATGAGTCTCTGTATTAATCACTGACCACTGCAGAAAGATGCTTCGTGGACCAGAGATGACAGCAACACTGTTCTGTGTGCACAAACATAGCTATTTAGAAGGCAATTTGACAGGCAGATCATGCCCATTAAGCATAACAAAAGCAACAGCTTTCCTAATAGGGCATATGGCCCCCTGAGACTTGGGCCTCTGCCAGGGTTTACAGTACCAGATATGGACTCCCTCCTGTGGATCTAGCATTGCCCAGATATTCCTTAATTGTCCTCTATGATCTTGTCTCCCCAGAGAGCATCCTATGGCCTTTGGGTCAGTGAGGGAAATCAGAGGATCTGTTGTCAAGTTTATGAGGTTTCCAGGCGGTTGCTCTTGATCTCCCTTCATCCAAAGTCAGGGGTCTTCTCCACCATGCTGCTTCCTGACCCCACAGCATGCTTGCATGTGAGGCTCAAATTCTACAAGGAAAGAAGAATCCCTCATAGGAGCCTCTGCAGAACTCCATTGACTTCACCATTTTGGACACAGATGGTTGTGAATCTTGACTAAGCCATACATTAATAGCTCAGTGTTGGCCATTTTATAAAACAGAGGCTTTAAATGTTTTTAAATGTCAAGACAAGTTTCTAGAAGGAAACTTATGGCTCCATCATCTAGGACACAGATGGCTAGTGAGCGCTTACAAGAAAAGTAGGGTATAGAAACTTTGAAGACAGTATGTCTTCGGGAGGCAGGGAGCCTGACAAGGAAGATGGATGACCTGGGACCAGGCAGAGCACTCTGGAAAGTAGGTGCTCTCATTACCTACCCAGATATGGCCTGGTGTCATTGAGGGAGAGAGAGAGAGAAAAACTGTTGCTTTCGAGATTGTCACCATTCAGGGCTGCAGAGATAAGAGCTTAGCAGATAAGAGCATGCACTACTCTTCCATAGGACCAGAGTTCAGTTTCCAGCACCCACGTCAGGTGATTCAGGTGGCTTACAACTATCTATACCTCCAGCTCCAGGGAATTTGACACCTCTGATCTCCATGGGCAATAGTACTTACACGCATATACACATATTCCAACATACATACATACATACATACATACATACACATAATATTTTCTTAAATAAATTTAATCTAAAAAAAAAAACGTTTTTTCATGGCTGCCTTGAGTTACTTTGTTTAATAAATTATCCAATTCTTTTTTGGTCTCTTTACTTTTCTTCTAGCATATGAAGTCCTCTAACAATGTCAGAGAGTCTGATCTGGTTTCTGTGGTCTCGGCAGTCTCCCAGATAAAGCTCAGCACAGAGCTTTTGGGAATTATCTGGAAGAGCCCTTAGTCACCACCAGGTCACCCTCTCCCAACACAAAGCATAAGGCTAGACCAACTATCATCATTTCCCCCAAACCAGACTGGTACAAGCAGACCTTTGACATTGTACAAGATGATACACGAAGACTCTCATCTTCCACGTTTGCCTTTCCTGCACTGCTAGCGTACCGAGGCTAGAGCTGCAAGCTATTCTAGACTCTGCGTTGTGCATTGCGGTGGACACCTGAGACCTGTGACTTCAGTGTGTCCTCTAAGCTCATCCCTCAGAGTCCCATGGGCTCAACACTTCACCCAACACTGGCCAAATTTCTAAAGCTTTTCTTCCCTGCAACCAGGCCTCACTCATTCCCCACATTACAAACGCTCCTCCATTTAGGGCCTTGGATGAAGTAAACTGCTGCTGATGCTCCTGTTGCTGCTGCTACCGCTGCTGTTGTCATCACCGTCATCATCAATTTGGAGTCACACTAATATTAGAATTACATAGAGTTTGAATTTGTGGGGGTTTTTTAGTTGTCCATTCAAAAAAAAAAATCCTGTAGACTTAGGTATTCTGATGGAAGCTATTTGTTCTTGTGGCAAAATCTCTTTTGACCTTTGCAGATTCTCAGATGAATCAGCTAGTCACTGACATAATGTATGCACCAGGGTAAGAATATTCATTCATTTCATTGGCATGCATGACACAGAGCGCCTGGAGGCTGCTCCCAGTAGCAGTGTGCCCTGCTGAATAAGACAGTGAGAATTAAACAGCCTTCTAGCCCTCACCCTGTTCAGAGAATGAATTTTGCGTTCATTTGTTAGCTTTGCAGAGTTAATGATAGAGCTAGTTGAACATGCTAATTTCCTTTGTTGTTGCCTGTATGGATGGAGAGTAAAAATAGCTTCCTCTATACAAAGTAACAAGAGCGTCACTTTAATAACCCAATATGAGGTCTGTTGTTGATATTTGGATAATGGACTCCTTTGTGTTTGTGAACAAGACCCAAAACACTCAATTGAAGCAACACACTCTTTGCTTCTCTTTCTATCTCTTTTTCTTTCTTTCTTTCTTTCTTTCTTTCTTTCTTTCTTTCTTTCTTT